CGGAGATAACCGGGTTTATTTGGAAAGTTGCTCGGGATGTTTAGACAATAATAAAAGTTTCTGTTCGTTATCGTCTACGAAGGAATTTTTAAGATCGTTGCTAGGCTCGGTTTATTGTTTTCGGGCGTCGACACGATTTTTATTTGCGCGTCTATTGCGTCAAAATCCGAGTTCGTTTGTGTTATTTATTGAGAAAAAAAAGGAATTTATTGTATGTCGGCGCGTCACGTTGCAACAAAAAGGGGCCCGTGAAGTCTCCAGGACGTAACAGTATATTTATGTATTTATATTGTGATGTAGCAGGTTCTGCCATCCCGCTTTTTACAAGTACCGCTTCTTTAATATGTAGAAATATATATATATGTAAAAATATATTTTCTAATACATCTTCTGCTGTGTTGTCAAATGCAAGTATTTATTGTTTTTTAAATATACAGAGTGTTCGATAGTTACTTTAGCATCTCTCTTAGACAGATAAAAGGAGTGAAACAGAAGTAAAAATTCCTATACTATGTTGCGAGATTCGCAATAGTTATCGAAATTTTATTTAACAAAACTCCACAAATAAGCATGCATCGGGCTGCTTTACGCGCACAACAGTCCGACGCGCTTTGCACGTTTACGGTGTTACCTATAGCAACGTGTGGTCTGTTAAGATGTCGGTAATTATTCCGAATCTCGCAAAAGACTTGTATAGAACTTTCAAATTCAGTTTGATTTCTACTACCTGTGTACGAGAGATGTTACAGTAATTGTCGATTACTCTGTTATGATACATTGTATAATGTATAATAAGTGGACACGTTTATGTACACTTTTACAATATATTTATACCTATGTAATTTTACATTACAGCATCTTGTATTCCTGCACCTTGCGTAGCATCTTCACAGTTCTTAATAAGTGCTGACAATACTACAAGTAAAAGAAATAAATTGTTATAATATACATTTATTATTGATTAATATTTACTTATATGCATATACACTTACTGACAAAAAGTGAAAAACAAAATAGTATTTTTATCATGAAATCGCTGACAAAAAGGACAAAAAAATGGTCGTACATTATTTCTTGAGTCATTTTTATGTATAATGAATTTTGATTTTTATCGCTTCACAGAATTATTAATGACTTAGTATAATATGTGTGTATTTGTGCTCCAAAGTTTTTAAATAAGTAT